ACGTACGGTACGACGGTACGGACGTACGGTACGTACGTACGTACGACGTACGTACGTAGACGACGTAGAGAGAGAGAGAGAGAGAGAGAGAGGGAGAGAGAGAGAGAGAGTCCCTATTAAGCAGTTGAAACCTTGAAAGACTGAAACAACTCACATACATGCATGTAGATGATAGGAGAAGAGTAGTTTTCATATGGTTCATGTGCCATTGTTGCATCATCTTCTTTGTCTCACTCTACCAACTTGTACCAGGTAATTCCCAAATAGTACACAGTAAACCAACCCCCACTTCCATCCCTTACCTTTCATTTTCTCTCTCCTCCCTCTTCTTCTCTCTACAACTGTGATGATTCCCCTTACTATTTATTCATGCATTCTCATCCCACACTCATAGCCCACTTCTCTTGTGCATTCTGTGTTGGACTCACCTCAACTTTACTTGGGTTTCTCTCTCTATAACTCTACTCTCTCTCTTCTCTCTATCCTGTTCTTGTTGGAATCACTTCAAGTTTCAGAGCGTCATTTGGGTCTCTTTCTTTCTCTCTCTGTCCTCACATAAAGCTCTCTGTCCTCACATAAAGCTCAGCTCAATTGAGTCTCCTCTCTCTCTTTCCTCCCTCCAAGGTTCAGTGCCAGTTTGAGTCTCTCTCTCTCTCTCTCTCTCTCTCTCTGCCATTCGAGTGTCACTCACTCTATCTCGAACTTGTTGTTATAATTTTTAATCAATATTCTCTAAATCAATATTCTCTAGATTGACAGCCATTGTGTAAAGGACTTCCCTCTCATTTCATATGCAGCTGTATTGAAAGTTTTTTTTTCTTCCAAGAACTACCTTAAGAAGAAGGTTGAATTTCTCTTGCTTATATTATTGTACTGAAGCATGTAACTTTTTTGGCTAGTTGTTAGCTTCTGCTGCTTTATGTTGTGTTTCCTCTTCCGAGCTTCCCCGATAACTCTTGGGTAATAATGCTCATTATCCATATTTTTTATCAGTGACTTGTAATGGGTTCTCGCCAATTGATCTTTGCACTTCCTTTTGATCTCTTTTAAAGCCATTTTATTTACTTTTTGCTGTTAGTTTTGACGGGTTTCAAAAAAATATGTAAAATCTGCATCAGTTTGCAAATGTTTAAGGGTCTGTTCTGTTCACCAGTATTCGGATCTTAAGATTTTTCGATGGGGAAAATGAATTCGAGCCCTTAAGTTTGTGGTTGTTGATCTACTGGGAGATTTTAAAAAAGTTTTTGAGTGAAAAGAAAAACAGAAGGGCTTATGGATCTCTGTGGAAAGTTTTTTCGTTAGATGATATTAGATAAAATGGAGGTTTTTTCCTAATCGGAGTACCTGATACTTTTTTTATGGAATTCAAGGAAGAAAGATTTTAGGCTCAATTCATTCTATTTTTTTTGAAACTGGATCAGTTCATATTTAATTTTCCATATATATATATATATATATATAGTATTTTTTTTTTAATTTGGCTGTGAGTCCTAATCCATTCTTTCATTGCTCAGTGTAGCATTCCTTTTTTTATTTTCCTGATAAAAAAATTTTAACTGACTTTTTGATGATTTGTAATGTAGTCTTCGAAACTGTAGAGAGTTTACCCCTGGAACAACTTGAAGTTCCGATTTTGAAAATTAATACATCTGAATGATTCATCTGTGTCAGTAAATTTTTCAATGATAAAAGCTTCCAGTGTAGTTTCTGATAGGTGTTCAGATACTCAAGAGTAGGTTTGGCGCCTGATGGATCCGATGCAGATTTAGATAGTATGGTAATGAAGCTCGACTTCCATAAAGCTTATCTCTCAGTGTTTTTGTGTTGCCATTTCCCCCTGTCCATTGAAATAAAAGTGTTTTTGAAAATTCAGTCCTTCCTCTTGTTCTACTTTTGAAATCTTGTATATCGTACATACCCATTTTAGTTTTTTCTGTAAATTGGCCATGGAGGAGACATTTGTTCCATTCCGTGGCATTAAGAACGATCTTTCTGGGAGGTTGCTTTGTTACAAGCAAGACTGGACTAGTGGTTTCCAGGCTGGAATCAGGTATTTGTTTTTCTTATGTGTTGTTCTATCGATACTCTTCCTAGTTCTCTCTTAGAAAGATAGATCTAATAGAATTAATAATTCTCTGCTTCTTCTCTTGCTCACAACTTTTTGTGTAATTCCATAATGGGTGGTCATAATAACATGAAAAGAAAAAAAAAAAATGGATAAGTTTTTTTCTTGAAAGCTAAGACATGCATAGTTAGCTGCTGAATTCATAGGTACATGCCATGTTAATATTTTTTATGTTTGTATATTTGTATCAACATCATGCAGCAAAATAATTTCCTTGTATGTACAGGATCCTCGCTCCCACAACTTACATATTTTTTGCATCAGCAATTCCAGTCATTTCATTTGGGGAGCAGCTGGAGAGAAACACAAGTAAGGGAGTAAACTGTCAAAAAAAAAAATACTTTTGTTCTAAACCTGACTACTTTTTTTCTTTTCTTTTCAACTTTTGATTAATGGGAGATTAGCACAAACAAAGTTACTTATTGTTCTAATCTCGTGGGCTCAACTTATTTATTTTCCTTGTTTCACTGCGAAAAAGAAATGGTAGAAAGGCCTAAGATGGTGCCTCTCTCTCTCTCTGGCTTCTTTTAGATGGTATTATAACCGCAGTTCAAACTTTGGCATCAACGGCACTTTGTGGCATCATACACACAATTTTTGGTGGTCAACCTCTGCTGATACTGGGCGTTGCTGAACCCACGGTTCTGATGTATACCTTCATGTTTAACTTCGCCAAAGATAGACAAGATTTGGGACCAAAACTCTTTTTAGCTTGGACAGGATGGTAAATTATTTTCAATTCTGACAATTCCTTGGATAGATCTTGGTTTACCTTTGTAATGATTTCAACTATGTTACTAACTTATCAAAATAAATACAACTTCTTGTAGTTTCAACTGTGTTACTAACTTATCAAAATAAATACAAGTTCTTATAGTTATACTAATAAATGCTTGATTGGCTTTATAGGGTTTGTGTATGGACAGCATTCTTGCTCTTCTTGTTGGCTATATTAGGGGCTTGCTCGATCATCAACAGGTTCACACGTGTTGCTGGTGAACTGTTTGGGTTGCTCATTGCGATGCTTTTCATGCAGCAGGCTATTCGTGTTAGTTTTCTTTATCTATCTGCATATCTTTACATGACAATTACCAAGCGATCCTGTTGAAGATTTGGGAAACAATTAAATATGTAGAGCAATAGTGGTTTCTGATATATCTACTTTGTGATAAGATCCAAGCATCAAATCATGATGAGGATTAAAGTTTTTGATATATATACATATCTATAATTTATGTGTGTGTGTGTGTGTGTGTGAGAGAGAGAGAGAGAGAGAGAGAGAGAGAGAGAGAGAGTAGTGGGAAGCTGGTGATGTCTGACTCAGATTAGAAGAAAGGACTGGCTTTAGCATACTAAAAGTTTAGGCCAGGAATAGTTAATGCTGCTATTTTCTTGTAGTGGTGGAAAATATCATCATTTGCTACTTATAATATCTTGATTTTTTTTTCTGTACCTGCTTTTTCCATGAAACTTTTATACCTTTTCTGTTTAACATTGCTTCTTATGGACTGATTTGCAGTTGAGACAGCCATAGTTAGTCAACAAGGATAATTGAATTAAACAAGGCATTTTTTCTTGATGTCCCCATATATAATGAATAAGAACGCTATAAGCATTTCTTGTGATCCCTGGTCATTACACTGAAGCTTGTTATTTGATTGCCATAGGGAGTTGTGGATGAATTTCGCATTCCAAAGAGAGAGAATCCTAAGCTCACTGAGTTTCAAGATTCATGGCGCTTTGGGAATGGGATGTTTGCCTTGGTTCTATCCTTTGGCCTTCTTCTTACTGCATTAAGGAGCCGCAAGGCACGGTCATGGCGGTATGGCACAGGTATGGGTATTGGAAGTCTGTGTGTGTGTGTGTGTGTTTGTGTCAATTTGCTATCCTTCACCATAAATGGTAGTTTGGTGAACTTCACTAAATATTTTGTGCAACATGCCATTGCTCTTTTTAGCCATTCTTAGTTAGGGTATGTTCATTATTTGCTAGGGAACAAGTAATAAGGCCCTATAAAGCAAGGACTGATGCCCACTATGGGAAAAAGTACCATGCATGTAAAGACTTGTCATGCTTTTTTTATAGATGAATGCCCTTGCTTTATGGTGTATTTGTCATTACTGTTGCAAATGGAAAAAATTGCTCCCAGTCTGCAAAGGCTGAAAATATAGTGCAAGGATACTTCGTATCTAAAAGTTTTCAAGTGTAGGATATAACTCTTCACCCTTCATGGTATAAGTCAGGAACGATGACAAGTCCTACTTTCCTTTCTCTTTGTACTCCTTCTGACTAGTAAGTGTCATTTAGGTTGGTTACGAGGATTCATTGCAGACTATGGAGTACCATTAATGGTACTCATATGGACCGCTGTATCTTATATACCTGTACATGATGTCCCAACTGGCATTCCTAGACGCCTTTTCAGCCCAAATCCATGGTCACCTGGGGCTTATTCAAATTGGACAGTAATCAAGGTACTGCCTACTCAACTATATCCAAATAGATTGTTCTCAATGCATTTGCCTAGCATGTCGATACCATAAAGGATGAAAAAGAAGCATGTGCTTGCCATTATAGGATAAAAAAAAAAATGATAAAAAAGAGGGGGAACCTCATACATAGAGATATTTAAAGTATGCTCCAAAATGATCTTGACATGTTCTGTAGAATACAAGTAGTCCTCTTTGACATCTATAATAAATTACCATCAAGTATTTTATCTTCTTAAGGAATGGGCCTTGACCTGGATGGCCAGTGTGCCAAAGCACAACGTGACGTCAAGCGTTCCATTTATACTCTGTTAACATATCCAAAAAAAAGAGTATTTTACCTTATTATTTGTTATCTCATGGTTATTGCAAAATGATTTTGATGAATGAATTGGCAAAGTTTAATGGTACTTGTTTGGCTGGCAGGAAATGGTGAATGTTCCACTTTTGTATATTATTGGTGCATTTATCCCAGCAACCATGATTGCCGTGCTTTATTACTTTGACCACAGTGTTGCATCTCAACTAGCCCAACAGAAGGAATTCAATCTAAGAAAACCACCTTCTTTTCATTATGATCTGCTTCTTTTGGGTTTCTTGGTAGGCTTCTATCGCTAAAGACCAGTTTAGCTGCTTTTCCCTTTTATGTTAGATTATAGAATGCAAATATAACATGTTGCTCTCCATTAATTACATAAGAATGGCACTAACAATGATTGCTGACCAGTTTGGGGCTTGAGACTTCCTGTGAGAGAGTTATATCTCCATCTCCTTAATATCAGTTATGATGGAAACAGTAACAGATGATGTGTAAAATTTGTTTAGTAAATTATTTGAAATAAGTTCCCACAAGAGTCAAATGTTTAACTTTTACACCTGTGGTTTAAAACAAGGACTCAGGTCGGGACTAGCTAGGGTTCCAAGCCTGAGTCAGGAAACTCAAACTCGGCAGAGTCGATGAGAGGATTGGCGAGTCCTTAAAAATGATTTGGCTGGTTCTGATGGTCTTGGTACCACGTTAGGCAGCCCGCCTAGTCTGAGTAACTTGGGTGAGTCCAAGTCAGACTCACCAAGTTTTGATTCACTGCTTTTCACATATGCTAATGAGGTTGGCCTAGCTTTAGTTTAACTGTTGACCTAACTTTACTTTTCCTTGAAAACATTCTGGCTGAAATTCGGAAACATCTCCTGTTGTGGCAGGTCATATTATGTGGCCTTTTGGGTATTCCCCCTTCAAATGGTGTTATACCACAGTCTCCAATGCACACAAAAAGTTTGGCTACTCTAAAACATCAGGTAGTATTCTATGTCTCGCTGTTGAGTGCATTAATGAGAAGTATCCCCTTCCCCTCTCTCCTCGACCTTTATTCATGAAAATCTTTTATGTCCCTCTATGTACTTTTCGTTTGTATTCGTGCGTTTCAGATATTATGCAACCATGACGATTAATATCTATCTTTTGACAGCTGTTACGTAATAAGCTCGTGGCAACTGCTAGAAAGAGCATCAGTAAGAATGAAAGCTTGGGACAACTGTATGGGACTATGCAAGAGGCTTATCATCAGATGCAGACCCCTTTGGTTTATCAGCCTCAATCAGCTCCTGTAATATAGCAATACCAAATCACTTATCATATGATTTTGATCCATACCCATGTTTTTAAATCTTGTAACCATTATTGGAATCACATCTAATGCGATTTTGACTTCTGGTAGGGACTAAGAGAGTTGAAAGAGTCAACTATACAATTGGCATCGAGTAGTGGGAATATAGATTCTCCTGTTGATGAGTCAGTGTTTGATGTAGAGAAGGATATTGATGATCTTCTACCAGTTGAGGTGAAAGAACAGCGCCTAAGCAACCTTTTGCAGTCTATAATGGTGGTTGGTTGTGTGGCTGCGATGCCATTGCTGAAGAAGATTCCAACCTCTGTACTTTGGGGATATTTTGCTTTCATGGCCATTGAAAGCCTCCCAGGGAATCAGTTTTGGGAGAGAATTTTACTCCTTTTCACTGCTCCTAGTAGAAGATACAAGTATGTGATACAATTCTTTGGTCATTTCTTATATTTTATAATGAATTGCTTTTCTCTGTGTGTTGCCCACTTTGCAATATTATTAATATTGCAGATTGGTATTCTAATATTTTACCTTTTCTCCAAAAGCTATTTCTATTTCTCACTTTGCAAATTAGAGTTAAATTATCTTATGAAATTGGGAATCTTTCTATTGATAGATAAAGTTAACAACATGGAGCTACTATTTTAGGTTTGCCCTTATTCAATATTCAGTTATGGTGTGATTGAGTGATTTATCCTAGTATTTCTTGTAGGTCAGTGTAGCTAATCCTTTTAAACCGAGAAGGCATTTTGTATGCCATGACAATAAAATAATCTTTTTTTTAGTCTGATATGTTTCTAACTTTGTATTTCTTATTTCTTTACTTATGAACATAAATATATGGCAATTTTAACTGCAGTTATAATGTGACTTTTGGTTCTATATGTTCATTTGCGATGATGGTGACCTTTCCTTTATATGGCTGTTCTGATTGATCCCCTCCATTAAATTAGTGCTTTTGTCTCTTCTATTGTGCGTGTGTGTGTTTTTTTTTTTTTGGGGTGGGGAGGGTGGGGTTGTTTATGTTGGTAAAATAATCACTTTGTATTTTTTAGATGCACCTTGTAGTGGATATAGTACTAGAAATGTGGGGGCACACGTGCACTGGTTGTGGTGTTATGTTGGAAATGGAGGGTGTAGCGGTCATTTTCTAATTTTTAGATACATCTTGAGCTGCTGGATATGGTACTGAAATTTTTAGATACATCTTGTCTTTTGCCTTTATGGTAGATGGACGATTACTAATCCATAGCTATAACCCACAGAGTGCTGGAGGATACTCATGCATCATTTGTGGAAACAGTTCCTTTCAAAACAATTGCCACCTTCACCATATTTCAGACAGCTTACTTGCTCGTATGTTTCGGCATAACTTGGATCCCTATAGCTGGAGTTCTTTTCCCACTTTTGATCATGCTTCTAGTGCCTGTGAGGCAGTATGTGCTACCAAAGTTCTTCAAAGGAGCACATCTTCAAGACTTAGATGCAGCAGAGTATGAGGAAGCACCACCATTGCCATTCACTATTGCTGTAAGATATGGACATCAAATCACCTCACTGCTTTCCAACTTTTCAAAATTTCCTTGAATAAAAATTACCATAGTTACCCGGAATAGGAGCGGGAACGATTCCGGTTCCGGGAGTGGGAGTGTCGGATCGATGGCTGCCCAATGCTCCGGAGCTCGGGGAGCGAGTTCCGTTGAGGGTAAAAGTAGTGTGATTGAGATACCGTATGAACAAGAAGCGCGGTCCTAATACATCGGATCTAGATCCTTATTTAACGGGTATGTGTTCCATGTCAAATGGGATCGTGTTCCATATTCATCAGGATCGTGCTCCCATGACAATAGGATCGGGCCCTCACTTAAGAATGACCGCGTTCTTATTTGGAAAGGAACAAGCTCCATTCAAGGAACGATCGTGTTCCGTGCATGATTAGTCTGCGCTCTCATCACAGAACTCCACTTGTATAAAAATCTGGCTTAAATTATAATCATTTTATTTTAAAAGTTAATTTTATTTAAAAAGTTTCTTTTAGAAAGTTCAGGGAACGTAGGATCATGCTCCTAAACTTCTAGGAGCTGAGATCTAATTTATTTAGGAACGAGAACTACAATTTTAAGGAATGCATTTCGTGCAACAGTGGGATCGAGATCCTTTGTGCATGGGATCAAGAATCCTATAAATAGGAGCCAGCTCCCGAAAAATTTAAAACGAGTTCCGATCGAGACTCCGGTCATGGAACGCCGGAGCTGGATTCCGGAGCGGGAGCGCCAGTGTAGCTGCCGGTAACTATGGAAATTACATGCTTTTCCCAGGTACTTCAACATAACTGATCATATGCAATGCACTAATACACAAGGAAACATCAGATGTATTAGTCATGTATGGGAATGCTAATTAGTATAAGAAATGCCAGGGCCTCGTGTATCTTAATAAGTTTGGGTGGTTTAACTATTTCTAAGAAAGATTGGCAAAACATTGTTTCGAGAAGACTTAGTAATGTACAATGCTGAGTGCATTTTAAAATGTATATGGCTGTTAATTCGTAAAAAGGTTGGGGTAATTTTGGTCATCTAGAATCACAGAAAGGAAAGGAAACAAAAATATGATGAGTTATCTTACAAAATTCTCAAAGAGGCTATATTCCTGTACTAACGAAAGCAACTTTGGCTCTGACTATAAGAAGAATCTGCACAAGGAATATTCACCATATGTAATTTTACCTTCTATATGAACTTTTAAAACAAATTATAAATGTGGTTTTATAATTCACGAAAATGGAATGGTAGCATGCATAAATGCAAATGTATTCATCTCTATGAGAAGATATATATTACAGGACGAGAGTCACCAAGTGTTTGGATCGGGCATCAGAGGTGGTCATGCAGATGATGCTGAAATCTTAGATGATATTATTACCCGAAGTCGAGGTGAGATCAGGCACACCCATAGCCCGAAATTAACGAGTTCGACTTCACTAGAAAATGTGAGGTCCCCATTTAGCCCTAAATTCTCAGACAAGGCATATAGCCCACGTGTGAGTGAGCTCAGGCAGGAGTACAGCCCAAGGTCGGGCACAAAACACCCTGAGATGAAGCAAACACCGAGCCCCAGGCCGTCTACTCTGGGACAGAGTTCTCGAAGTTCGCCTCATAGCTAATGCCTTGAAGCCCAGTTTATACCACTCAAGGGTTCACATATGGAGCAATCAAGTTGGCTATCTAAAATTGGTTATTGATCGTATGTCAGTGAATGTTCCTATTCCTGTTCCTTCTTATGTATCTAATCTTTTTTGACATTGTATTTTGTGTTACGTAACCCTCCCTGTCACCATTGCTGTGATGAGCAGAGCTGGATAACTTTGTTGGTATATTGAATTAATGAAAGTCGAGCTTAAAATATCTCTCATGGTAACTGTGTCATTTGGCTTTTATCAGATATCTTTGATTAGTGCTTTTTTCACCTATGCTTAATGAGAGCCCTCCGAGTCTAATGCATGAATGAACAGCCGCAAACTTTGTCGTGAAACTGGGAGTAGACTTTTTTCGGCACATTGACTTGGCTCTATTTTGCCTTTTGGGATGATCAGTAAGAAAGGCAATTCATTAATAAACAGCATTACAGTAACTTAGTTTGTGGGTTAGAACTCAACGGAGACGATATTCTAATGCATGCCTTGGTGATATTGATCTATGGATTTGATTAATAATGAGCAGTATTCAAGATGCAAGGTTCTCTTGAAGAATATTGTACACTATATGGAACAGGTATTTCATCGAGCATTTACATCGCTTTGCCAATTGTTGAATGATCTTTATGCTCTTGGTATTCAATTAGAAATTGTGTGTAAGAGAGAGAGAGAGAGAGAGAGAGAGAGAGAGAGAGTAGGACATCAAAATGAAGCTGGTTTTGCATGTAGCCGTTGTTCGATCTCTCTCACACTTGGGGAGAATTATTGGGTTGCAGGGAATTATTTTCTTAGGTGTTTGTGCTAAAATATCCCTTCTCCTATAGGGCGGTTGGGTTACCTCTTATGGTCTCCAATTCGCAAATAACCGCTGTCCATGCTGCTACACCTACTAACATAGGTTGATTTGGATGCCAGGTAGATGTGTTTCTTTCTTGGAAGAAGTAGAGTCCTCTAGGAGATGTGCCATCTCACAGGATTAAACTACACCAAGGCGCGCTATAACAAGAGACTTTTTAGAGTAGTGAGATCTAGCAATGAATCGAAGGGTCATCAAGAAGAGATTTACAAACACATTAATGTAGGATTATAGTGCCTTCCGATGAGTAGGGCTGCCAATGGGACGGAAGGCCCCGGCTAAAAAAAACAGTTGGGCTTGAGCCACAAATTGTGGCCCAAGGCCCGGGTTAGGACCACTGCCAGCAATGTTCGGCCCTGCGTTTTTCTTTTATTTTTATTCATTTGTTTTTAGCCCTCCCTGGCCCTAACAGCGCAAGGGCCGGTCCTATGGGGACAAGGGCTGCGCCTGGCCTGGCCTTGCCTGTTGCTTCCCTTACAGATGAGCTGTAAGGGAGAAGGTTTTCCGTTATGAATCAAAGACTCCTATGGAAGTAACGTAGTTTTGTGGTTTATTTTTTTCCCTTGTATGTCATTACATTATCGTTTACTCTTGGATTTGTGCCAGTCTCTAAGTCAGATCAACTCAAATTTTATATGGAACGAATTAAATTTAGAGATAAGTAGAAACAGTGGGGTTGCTCAAATTATGCGTTCCTTAACATCACAAATTTATACAGATCTGATTCTTTTTTAAGTTCACTAGCAGTCCTAGCTTTAGAATATGTGTATATGATTTTAAAATACTCCTAAAATTTTAACTAAATCTAATAATGAAAGAATTTTTTAGAGATATAAAATAAAACACCAAATACAGAGATAAATAAATAAATAATAAAAGAGAGGAAGAGTACATACGTGAGAATTTGTACCTTTTGATACCTTCTCTTGTCTTCTTGAAGCATGGCTCAAAGGTTGTGATTTAGGACAACTTGATCCTAGGGTTTGATCTTGATTTCTAAAACGTTTTGGGCTTATGGGTTGGGTTTTTTTTCTAATTTTATTTTAAAGATTTTGGGACTTTTCCTATTTTTCTAGAATTTTAGATGATTTTCCTAATTTTCTAGGATCTATCCTAATTTTCTTGGAGGATTTTTCTATTTATTTGGGATTATAAGGGAATTTCCTAAATATATGGGAATTTTCTTTTTTTTTTTAAGGATATTTTATGTATTTTCAATGCATTTTATAGGATCAAGGGGGTATTTACATATTTAAACTAGGGTTAGGGTTGAAATAATTTGATCTAATCTCCTAGTTCTAATAGGATTATGTATAGGGATTTTTCTATACTTTTTCAAAACAATTCGATTAAAACCAACCAAAAAACAACGTGTTTCAAGAAGCAAGTGGCCTCGTCTGGGCCCATACGGTAGGTCGTCTCACAAGGCTTGAGGGATATTTTGGTAATTATGGTATACAATCTTCTTGGGCCTTTAACTTTGCAACAGTAGATCCTATTCAAGTGATTCTTGGACTGATGGAAACCTCTTGGGCTCTACTATGGCTCCAGATAAGTTTTAGATAGTTCTGGGACAATAAAATTGGGTCTAGGCTGCCTATGACTCATTAAAGTTAGTATGATCCTTAGGGTACAAAATCAGGGTTTTTTAGGAATTCTCTTCGCCAAAATTTCGAGGAGAGTATTTACTGTTGCCCATTTTTGGCATTCACCTGGGGTACCAGGTGAATGGTAAAGAAGTAGACACCTAAGACATAATGGAAACGATTTATTCGAGGGGTCATCCTTTTGCATGACTAGTACCCCTTGGGGAGGTAGTACACCGATGGATATTTTTAATCCGTAAGACATCGAAATGAAAATGTATTATCTTTGGGGTAGTAGTTTTGAGAGGTCTTCGACAATCGGGATCCGAAGTGACAGTTAGCAGGAACCATACTATCTTTGAGCCAGTGACTTTTCATTACTAAAGTCACATCAATGCTACATGGGATACCAGTGTAGTCATCTTCGGCTTTGGATCTTTTTCAAGGGGCCGGGTTTTTAATTAAATGAGAACTTGAATTAAGAGATAAATGATGGTGGTAAAATTCATGCTAGTTGAACTTTTGTTCTCCTTTTTTTTTTTTCTAAATTCTTCCGCTTGCTCAGTCTTAAGTTATGAGAAACTATGGGTTGTTTGTCCTAACAATGGGTTTTCCTAAGGATTTTTGTCCATGCTTTAAGACTTTTAAAGAAGGCGGAAACGTAGAAGCATCATATATGGGTTGTCCAACTCCTTTGTTTTAGAAAACATTTTTAGTAACTTTAAAAAATAGAGAGAAAGTTTTTTGAAATAGAACCAGGTGCTTGGGCATAAGATTTTAACAAAGCAACTAGATTTTTGAAATTTGACAAATGCTTGGGCAAAAATCATGTTTGGTAAGCAGTTTAGGCTCATGCTATCATGGAGTTTTTCTTTTTCTTTCAAATGTGATCTTGTCGAGCCTCTGCTTGGGACATTCAGGATGAGGAATCATCGAGTACTCTTCATCTTCTGATCTTTGGCTCTTATGTCACAACTCAAGGGAGAATATTTTGAAATTTCTTAACAAGCCGGTATCTTGGATAATATGGGATATTGTCCTTGAGTATTTAGAATCTCTTTGGACTTCCAATTTCGTTCCTTCACTACAACTCCTTCTAAGGTTTAGATAGTTGATATTTTACTTGGACTGATGCCTTCATATTACATTACTTTCTAACACCATTATGACTTAGGAAGATAAAAATTTCAGAGATTTTCGGAGAAGAGATAAAAAGATAGAGTAGTTCTTTTTTCTACCAACCTAGGTTCCCTTTCAGGTGTTCAAGTCGGTGGCCTTTTTTCCAACTCTTGGGGTTCCTTTAAGATTTTCAGCTTGGTAGATTTTATTTACTTTGCTTTCTTTTTCTTTTTCTTTTTCTTTATTGCCCCAGGGTCCTTTTTGGGTGTTCTGCCCAGTGGATTTTTGCCAATGCTCAGGGTTCCTTTCGAATTTTCAGCTCGACAAAATTTCTTTTTCTTTTTCTTTTTACTTTTGAAGAAGAGGTAGAGTTAGTATCGTTTTTTTCCTTTCTTGGCACTATGTCTAGATGAGATCTCGATCATCCTTCCTTTCTCTAGGTGTCAGAGGTTCTAATCTTAGTTAACTTTGGATTTTCCTTGTCCCTGGTTGGTATTCAACACTTCCTTGACAGTGGTTGTTGAATTACTATTGAGTCTTTCCTCCTTGAATTGCTTCATTCGGACCTTGATCCTTAGATTTGGAGTTACTCTCAGCTTCCTAGGCCTTCAGAATGTTGTTGGGTTCACCTTCGGGGATAGTTCAACTGAATCCTCAAAGCTTGACTCCTTTATTTTTTTTTGGATTACACTTTCGAGATTAAGGCATTTCCCTAACTTCGCGATCTCGGTTGAGCTCATGTATGACTTGAGCCTCCTATAGGTCGCCCACTACACTTATTTGAAAGATAGGTCTGACTAAGTCATTTTCTTTCAATCGGAATCGAGATTCTTCTTGAATAACTTTCATTTCTTGAGTTTCAAAAACTGGGCTGAGGTTATTTTCATCATTTTGAATTCTAGAATCCCTAGCTAGAAGATTTGGATTATCTACCCCTACCCTAATATCTAGGACATGAGTCTCTTGAGCCTCCTGCAAGTTAGTTCCGTCCACCTTAATTAGAACTCCTTGTGGGGTCGTTTGCTCTTCTACTCTCTCTTGGATCATGGACCATCGGCTAGGGTAATCTTTGACATTTTATTTTTGAGATTCCCTAGCTACAGCGTTTTGAGACAGCTCATGCTCATCTGGTACTTTTTCCATGGAATGAATAATTTGGAAAGTGTCTTCATGTCCTCAAGTTTTAAAGGGATGACTAGAATTGCCTCCTCCTTTTGGTGACCATTATTATCATATTTCAACTCTGAAGGATCTCCACACTAGTTTTTATTATCGAGGTAGTATGCTCCTTTTGTAGGTTGAACTCTTCTAATTCTATAAGAGCTCCCTATGGAATAGATTCGGAGCTAAGGCAATTCTCATCACTTTGTTTAGGAAATTCCCTGGCAACATATGATTGGATAATCATATCATTTTGTTTTTCACTTACTAAATTTTTTTGTTAGTTTCTTCCAGTACCCTAAGACAATATTTGGTGATTTTCAAGCTTGGGCAGGAGTCTTGGCTCATCGGTCCTTATCACATTGATATCAGCTAGAATTCATCTGATATCTCTTGGCTTTGCCATGAGTGAGCCCCATATATATCCCTGAGCGATTATGGGGATGTTTTCGAATCGGGATCAATTTCACATTCTTCAATTGTTTGCTC